AAAAGAAATGGGAGAAAAAGCATGGCATCCAGAAGGCAAAGGGTGTAAAGAAATGTGTGATCAAAAGGGAACTTCGACATGACAAATTTCTAGAATGTCTCAGGACTAGAAAGCTAACCCGACATGATATGTATGGTCTATGCAGTTATGATCATCAAATTTATCTGAAGAGAGTAAATAAAATCAGGCTGAATCCATATGACAATAAGCACTGGATTTTACTTGATGGAATCAGATCCCTCCCATATGAACATTGGCGAATTGGACTATATAAACGCCTGGTAGCATCTGGAATATCTCCTGAGAAAGCAGAAGAAAGGGCTATGAAAGCTAAACTTCGTGTCAAGGCATAGATACTTTATAACAAATATTTTTTTGGGTAAAAAATTCTAAAGAATATATTTTCATTAATTAAAGTTTTTTATTGCTATAGTAGAAATATACAAAATGGTTGATCATAAGGATATAGAACTTGCGCAAGTCAAAGTCATAAAAAACTGCATTACGAAAGGGCAGAAAATATGATAATCTTGTGAAAAATTATGGAGACTATCTAAAGAAACTGCGAGCTGAAAAGGATCTGAACAATTATATTAAGACACTTGCAGTAAAGATGTTTCCTAAGGAAAAAGCATATACTAAAAGGCTAGAAAATTATCGCAAAAGGTATGAAGATAATGATCTATATAGCAGTTTAGAGGAATTATATGAGCTTTATTATTATATAGCTAAGGAGGAGAATCGTGAAAGGTCAGATGATGAAATAGAACAGATGCTCAGAGCAATAGCAATCTAGCCGTCTTTGGCAAATCTTCCTTATAAGTTATTGTTTACATGGGGGAAATTTAGCAATTGAAATAAAAAATATTAGTTAAGTAAATCAATACGTTTGATATACAATGCATTCATTCAACCCACTCGAAAAAGCAGATACAATTGCTGAAATTGTCAAAAAGCTCCCATTAAAAGCTCTTGATAAATTCTGCTGGATAAATAGCACTTGATATAAAGAAATCCAGCATGAGTTTCGGAGAAGATGGAAGATACAAGCGCTAGCATATTATAAATTAGAACAAGAAAAGGAGTTGGAAAAGAAAGAGGTAGAGAGAAAATATCCTCATGATGATTTCATGCAAGGATATTTACATCAAAACATAGAGAATTCTTATACCGAAAGGGAAATTGAGACAGCTAAAAAACAGGTGGAGATCGAAAGCTATATGCTTCGCAATAAAATGTGCTATGAGCAAGAAAAAGAAATAGTTAAATATAATATACAGCAGATAGCTGAAAATGTGGTCCCTTGGTGGAATGCAAGGGATGCCTGGGGATTTTTAGAGAAGAGCAACATTTTTATCTAGCCCATTACAATAAGCTAGACTAGTGAACGACGCATATATGTAAGCAGGAAGGAGTTGCCAACATAAATATTATAGATTCTGTTCTGATGCAATAAATATTCAGTTATTTTTTCCAGATATATAAAAATGCCTTTTAAAAAATATTACACAGATTTGGAAAAAGGAAAAATATACGCTGTTGAGGAGCTCAAAGAGTCCATTATGACATTGGAACGTGATGTAACTAGAATATATCAAAATCTTAAAAGATTTGCCCGAGAAATATATTATCTATATGATGCTATAACACCTGAAGAAATCGAAGAATTTGAGGAATCTGATTCAGATTATGCGTCATGTAAAGCGGGAGATTGGACCTATCAACCCAGAAAAGAAGATTCACAAAGTAAAGTATATGTGAAGAAAAAATTCGCCAGTAAGAAGGTGAAACCTAGAAGGAATCTGACCTGAGCAGTCTAATCTAATTAGTTCGGAGTAGTGATTATCAATTTGGAAGAATTTGCTGAGCCATAGATTTTTGTGCAATGATGTAATAGCCGATCACACAGTCAATCTGTGAAATATTATTTTTTCGCATATATCGAAAGTTATGTATGCTAACTAGTACCTCTATTTTTTATTAAGTATAATTGCTCTATTAGCAAAATGTCAGATGATGAGACAGATGAAGGCTACAATGAATTTATCAAAGAATATGGATTGAGATATGAATGGGATAATGAAGGGAATCCTGAATTTATATCAGAGTGGTAAGATTGGGAAGATCTATTTTGCGAAATCAAAATTTATTGGAAGACAAAGGCAGTCAGATATTAGAGGAAGAAAATACTTAAATGATTTGTATATAGTCTGCCTAACATACGAAATCCAACATCATTATTTCATGTATTCATACAATCCAATGCTTTTTATCTCTCATAGATTTTAAGCTTAATAGAATTGCCATATAGTGCTGAGGAATTTCAATGGGAAATATAGCCAGATGGTATTGATACAGATGAGATTAAAATAAGTAACAATGCAAATGAGATAGAGATATTCCGTTATGGAATGTTGCGTCAAGACAAAGATTCAATAGCAGATTATTATTCGAAGGTAAAGAGGTGTAATGATATTGTCAATTTCAGCGAAAAGCGTCTTAGAAATAAATTCATTAATGGATTAACACTTGAAAACCAATGGTATATCGCAATATCTGGATACTATCATACTCTTGATGAATTGGTAAAGCACTTATTTAGGTAGAAAAAGAAACAATACCTGTTCTTATCGCATTTAGTAAATATTGTAGACAGATCGGTATGATCAATCAGAATTTAATGCAGTCAATTTGGCACAGTAGCCCTCCGGCTATGCATTGGTTAGTCTGAGGTAAAGTTCTGCATTTGATCCGATCTGAAGTGTTCTGAATATCGTGAATGAGCAGGGGAACCCTAGTCTGAAGTCTATGATCACTAGCTCGGAAGATTTTTTTGCTGAGCCACAGATTGTGCGACAAAAATAAGTGGATCATCAATCAGGTCTTGTGCGACATATTAATTTTTGCATATAATGAAAAAAAATATATATGCTAACCAATATCTCTCGAATAAACATGAGAAAAATGTGAAAGAAGGTTTATATGCAATACAGGATCTTCCCTACAAGTAAATAGTACCGGCAAAAGCATATGTTATGAAAGGCTGAGGGATTCACAATTTTGAGATCGCCAGGCATAAAACTAACTATATATCTTGCAGGGTAGATCTCCATGTGAAAAGATATGAAGATTCCATTTACATGTGCTTTCATAGAGCTCTTGGCATCAGACGACAATGCTAATCGCTATTCTTATCTCCTTAACTTTTTTCCAGCAAGATATAAAGCATGTAGTGGTATGTGGAAGTTCAGCCAACTTTTCACAAAAAATATTCCTGTAAAATAGTTTCGCTAGTGTAGCTAACGCAAAATAAGGTATGTATATATCAGAAGTTATGTATGTATGAGAACGAAAATTCCTCACTATAGGCCTTAAATTTAGGAAAACAAGATGTCTGATAAGGCTGAAGTGCTCAATAAGACCAATAAATCTGATACCTCAACAATTGATAAGTTAGACAAAGATAGAGATAATACTCCCAACTGTCTCACCTCTGATGAAAAAATATTTAGCAATCAAGTTGCTACTCTTGTGAATGAAGTGGTGAAGTTTATTGAGACCCCAGATGGTACAAAACTGAAGATATTTTCTAATTCATCACAAGCATAGTATACTGGAGATATAAACCCAGTAACGGACGTGAGGCCCAAGTTAACCTCTCTATACTTTGCCAAATAAGATCATCGTGTAAAAGTGATAGCCGTTAAGGCACTTCGCATAGTCACAATTTTTATGTATTGTAGGCCGACTTCCAGTAACGTTTTTTTTTATTTCTTAAATAAAGCATATATTACATTCTTGTCATAAATCTTAAAAAATGGCACGTATAATGATGTAATATAATCGTCTGATAATTCTGTATTACATCTTAATTGCATATATATTGGGCAAAAGCATTATGAATCGATACAAAAAAATAAATCATTTCTCTCCAAGCGCTGAAACCAAAAATACTTTTATATCTATAAACCAGCTTTACCTGTAACTGCAGTCAAGTGCATATTTTTTTTTCGCAAGCACAAACACAAGCACTTATATATAAATGCTATGTCTTTACAATCCTCTACACTTTCTTTTCCAAGCTCAATAACGGAAGAAGTTTCTTCACGAACAATGTCAGACGTGGTTAAGAATTTTAATACAGAGGAGCTTATCGATTATCTGGAAAGGAAAGACTTGAAACTCAATAAAGATGATATTAAAATTTTTCGCAAAGAGAAAGTTGCTGGTCGTGATTTTCTTAAGTTAACAGAGAAAAAGCTTAAGCATTATGGAACGAAAGGAGGGCCAGCAACAAGACTTATAGACTTTATCGAAGGTCTCAGCCAGAAGTTACAAAACTATTTCTCGCTTAAAACTCTCAACGACTTAAAGAAAATGTTACATAAAAATAAGGTGAATAGGGAAGATATAACAAATATCAAGCAGTTTACTTCTGGTAAGTAATTAACTAATTTTCAAAACTGACTAGATATGTATATTAACCTTATTTTTTTCTCTGCAGTCTTCGAGGAGATTAATGATGATGATAAGGTATTCGAACACTGTATAGAGGACATTATCTTAAAACTTTTGAATGTGGAAACTATGACCGATGCTAACGAGGCAACGTGCTATGAATTTATTTCAGCTATATTATATGCATCAATTGCTATCGCCAAAAAACTCACCTCTCAAGATATATTCATAGTTTTGCAGAAAGACATTTCCGGTGAAGATACTACTGGCTGAGTAGACTACGCGATCAAAAGTCTAGAGGATCTTCTTTGCATCATCGAAGGGAAACCACGAAATATTAAGATTGGATATGCGCAGGTAGGCCTACTATCCACATTTTCGCTTTCTAACATATTAGAGATATTAATAATGATTTATCTCTTAGAATCTAGCACAACTTGAAAGTGCATTTCAGACAAATAAAAAGAAATGGACTGTGGATCAAGCATTCGGAAATGACTATTTTGACTATATCTATGGTATTATGACCACAGATATGGAGTAGTATTTTATCATATATACTCCTGATGGTATATACTCTACGAGTGGAAGTGAATATCAAATTAATCTCTTGAAGTCCGCCATTAAAGAAAATCCTGAGCTACTTCGAAACAACGTGAAAAGGGTAATAGGTATAATTGTTGGGTTGTTGAAGGATTGGATTAGTGTAAATAGTTCTCCGTCTAGTAAGAAGGCTAGGATCAAAAAATTATCAAAAAATAATGTGTATCGTAGGCTAGGTTCTGATCTTATATTTATTTTCGCATGTATTAATAAAAAATTTTTCTTGGCAATTTTTCCATGATGGGAAACCCACTTCCTGTTATGCAAATTTAGTGACTTCATTTTATTTGAATATTTATATATAGTATGTGATAGATCTTTTCGAAATAGAATCTAAGGTTGACTTACTTAGACAGGAAATGCCAGACTTGTGGCCAAGGACAATAAGGAAGCATTATAAACCAAGCTTAAAGTATTGAGAAAGCTTAACTCTATGACAGAAGTAATGTTACAGCATAACACTATGCTTGAGACTAAGATTACTGAGCTTAAGGCTAAGGATCCTGACCGCATGATCAATATTTCTGAAGTTATACCCGTGAAGGATACTAAGCTTAGGAAGAAATTCATAAAGCAAATAGAGAAGTTTGAGAAGAGTTTAATCGATCACATGGATCACTTGTAAAAATGCGAAGAATGATGTTCAAATCCCAAAAATAAATAAGAAGATCCTCTACTTTGAAAATGAATCACCATTTAAGAATAATCTGCCGTAAGGTACTGTTTAGTGCTATTAGTATAGATGTTGTATATCACAGGCTAAGTCCTGAACCTTTGTATTTATTTTTCGCATGTATTAATAAAGCGGTTTTACATTTGTTACGTAACATTGAATAATTCTTTCATATGTGAAAATATTATCTATCATGTCGTCTGAGCTTGAAGTATTGATTACTGAGCTTGAGGCTAAGAAAACTGACGAGAAAGCTAGGCTTGCCAAGCTTGATGCTAAAATTTTAAAACTAGAGCAGGATCAGGCAGAAAGAGAGGCTAGAATTTTAAAACTAGAGCAGGATCAGGTAGGAAGAGAGGCTAAGAAAAATTGCAAATTCCAGACTAAGTGTATCCAGATAGCTAAGAAAATTCTTAATGACGAACCTATCATTGAATATTGCCTGCCTTTCTTGAACGGATTAGAGCTTGATACCCTCTTCCAAAAATATCGAATTGCATTGGAGATGCAAGAGGCACAGCATCGGCTTCATAGTACTAGCTGGTATAAGGATATTAAAAAACTCAAAGATATTATTAATCGTGATCGGCAAAAAAGATGCATCTGTCAAGATAATGAAATTTCCCTTCTTAAAGTATGGTACGATGAAAAACCAAAAATTGTCATTCCAGTGAGGATACGAAAAATTAAGGAGTTTGTTTGTCTAGCATCCAAAAGTTTCAATTTTATCAGTCATAGGATATGTCGATCCTAAATGATTTTCATATACTTTTAAAATTTTATATTACATAATAATTCTTTAACTAATTTTTAACGTTATAATAAAAATTTATTTAAATATTTGATTCAAATATATTTTTTATATTTAAAAAAAAAAAATTTCTTCTTTAATTAATTTTTATAGTTAAAAGTTAAAATATGAATTAAGTTTTAATATTTTTTATATTATTATTTAAAGTGAAGTGGAAGATTCTCATAAAGTATTTTTCTGTTCATATTATTATATATAATAATTATTTTATATAATGATATAATAAATAATATATATAAATAAATAATATAAATGTATTTATTATCTATTTACGCTTACTACATTACAATTATTTAA